TGCAACTCTCAAGCGATAGAGTCGTATTTAGCTCTATAGTTGCTGTGGCGCGTAAGATTTTGAAAGTTTGCCATCCTAGGTGGTACCTCGGTTCAACGCTAACACCACTTCTGGAAGGTCAAAGATGATTTCTCATCCCTGACATAATCATCCATCGTGATTTACTAACTGATTACAGTTAGTTAGCTTACTTGACCAGTTGCGCTTGTCATTCGCCAACGATCATCAGCGTGCTGACCGCCCTAGTCATCAGAATATCGTCATCCCACTGCAAACCGTGTCATAGCAAGATAACTTTCGAGCAGGTTACGAAGATCACACGAATAACACTGTATTGCCTCCCTAATACATGGGCGCCACTGGTGCCTTCCAGGGCTCCGATCCCGGCTCTGGCTCCTGCCGCAACTGCTGGACACGGCTCCTCTTCGCCTTCTTTCTGACCGTCAATGTAGGCACCGAAGAGCCCGCCTCTTGCGCATCGGCCTCGTTCTCGATTTCTCCCTCGGTGTTGCTATCTGCTTCTCGCGCCGACACCTTGCGCTTGCGACCACGTTTGCCCTTGCCTTTCTCCGCGGCAGCCTTATCTCTCGCTGCGCGTGCCGCACGCGCTTTATCCAGATCCTCCCACTTCATCACCTTCGCCTTGCCTATAACCAACGACCGTGTGGATCGTCGCACCTTCGCTTCGTTGTTGATGGCATACAAAAGTCGGTTATGGTCCTGAAGCAGGCTTTGTCTAGCAAAGGATATTTTGGCCGCGCTTGCGAGCTTCTGCACACGCCTCTGCAGGCGCTGTCTGCTAGCCTCGTCAGATGCAGCGGCACAGGTATCCTGTTTGATTAGTTCGGTCAACCACGTCAAACCCTCTACTGTCACAGGCGTTACAGGTGTGTGCAGAGCCTCGGCCGCTGGATAGGACGTTGGTGCTATATCTTCGCTAGTATCGTTATGCTCCGCGGGCGGCTTCGGCATATCACGAAGCACCCTCTGCGGGTTGAAAGGGAACAAGCCAACAGCCGCCCATCCGGCTAGAATGTTCCTTTTCGTTATGGCTCTATCTCTGGCTGGTTTGTAAAGGTACGTGAAGTGCTCTTTGCCGATGGTGTCTATACCACCTCGATTCAACCGTTCGACTTGGTCGCGGTAGGCTGTCTTTAAGGGTGCAAAAACAGAAACATCACATGGCTGGAGCTTGTGAGAAGTGTGGGAGGGCAGTCGGCAGAGGGTGATGTCATTGGCGAAGCAAAACTCCAGGATCTCATGCGTTTCGTGGCTGCCAAAACCATCAGATATTAGTACTCGTGGTTTGCCGTTGGCGATTTCTTTGGTCTGGGGATCGAATACACGCGTAAGCCACTCTAAGCTAATCTTAGAGTCATTATACCCGTTCTCGGAGAATCCGTAGTGCCAGCCAGGGGTCGGATGGGTGGTCCAGTTACTTCGGTGGGTCGCAGCTGGCCAGATGATGAGAGGGTGCAATGACCTACCATCAGCACTGATGCACTCTATGGCGGTAACCATTGTCCGCTTAACACCAGCGCCCCTATATCCTCGTTGATCATCCTTACCTACAAGAACCTTGACAGAGCCCAGTATGCTTAGCATGACCCCTGTCTCATCCATGTTGTATACATTCTCTGGCCGGATAGCAGGATCCTGTAGCACCTTGCCTATTACTTCAAACCACTCCGTGACCTTGTCGTATATATGTATCTCGTGACGTCTCCAATCTATCGACCTGACTCGTTTCGCTTTCAGTTCAGGATGGCGTTTCCCGAAGGCTTGAGCCCAGTTCTTACCGGGCGGCTTGCTGGGTCTACTCGCAGGGGATCGGCGTCGGGCTATACTGAAGGCTAGCATTGCTATGTATTTGATGCGGACTGGTTGTCCGAAACTAGACATCAGCAACAGGAACGCGACCAGGACTTTCTCCTCTTCTACGCTGAGGTACAGCTGGCGTTGGGCCACCTCTTCCTTTGAGGGCCGCCCTTTGTATCGATTGTATAGCGTGGTAAGGGCAATACCACTGGAATCGGCTCGGGCAGCCCATGTTCTGCTGTCATTCGGGAGAAGTTCTGCAATTGCCTTACTAGCCGGGTCCATCTGTACGATCGTGATGGCAACAGAAGACGCGATGAGCAACTTCTGGCGGCATTGCACCTTCACGTCCCTGTACTAAAAATAGATCTTTGTCTATAGATGGTTCGAGAAGGGCACTATGCTTGGCGCTGCATTTAGACTAGCACAACTAGTTACAGGTAGATTAGTTACAGTACTAGTCAGAACGCTAGCTTCTTTATGGCAAACTGCATCTGGATATCGTGCTGAACCTATTCAATTAGTATGAAGAACACAAACAATCGCATCGCCTGTTCTGCAGCGAACATCTAGGGCTAACCCATGCACGAAAGGTGGAGCAGTTAAAATTGTTGCGCAGCTATCTGTGTATGAGTCACCCTGTCCGAAAAAATAAAAGCGGTACATTCCATCCATCTTTTTCTACCGACCAGAGATGCTCAGATTAATACTCAAAAGAGGATATCACCTATTCTGATTTCTGAGGTGGTCCAATTTCCCGCTCTGCCCAGGTGATCGGGTCTGTATAAACCCCGCCATGGTCGTACCACTCTTTCACAACTATCGCAGGATAACCTATCGCCTTGCCAATAGCGTCTGGCACAGCATGAAAGATTTCCAGCGATTTCCCTCTACGAGCCTTTTTCATCAAGTATAATGCGCAGCGCCGAATGCAGTCTCGATTGAGATGTTGGAGCGATAGCACTGCTTTGTAGATCAACTCGGCGTCGTGTGTGGAAATCCCAATTTCAATCGCGCGATTAAAAGCTTTAACATGCTCTTTGGTGTCAAGAACGTGGACTAAGCACGCAAGGTCTGAAGCGCTTGCCGCTCTTGTCTTCGATGCAGGTAGTTTTTCGAGTATGTCCAAACCTCCCAGAAAGGTCCTGACCACGGCTTCGGTATGCTGCATAGATGAGACATTCTTCAATCGTTGCGCAAAAGCGCCCCAAACCTTTGCAATAATCTCCGCATCATTTGCTGATTCTCTGATCTGTACATCCGCTCTATCGCTGCGACATGCAGAAAGCACGGCACCAAGGATTTCAAAATCTCCTACTAATTTCTCCTCTGGTTGCTGCAAGTTTCTGGATTGGCCCTCCGCAAACCGAGAAAGGTTGGGAAAGCTACCTCCGTAGGCCTGTATGAGATCATCTAGGAAAGAAACGAGCTGTGGATTCTGTTTGCCAGTTGCTGGGTCGATCACCGTTTGATATGGATGTTCATGGAAGAAGTGCGTGAGATTGATAGTCCCATCAGCAATCATATTCATGGCCGCTTGCATCCTTGCGGGATCTTGGGCAAGGAATGTCGGCAGCAGTGTGCTGTCATCGAGTTCCCCGCGTTTTGCTGAGGATAGAACAAAGAACAAAGACCAAAGACTGATAGAAAGTACCGGATGAAGATGTCACTTGATTGAAGAAGTGAATGGTCACCTGAATACATTTCAGGTGACAAAGTTGGGCTTGTTGTGCTAAATTCGTATTGAGGATTTCATCAATCACTCCAGCCACAGAGAAGGTTTATAACATCCTTCCCTGTGTGCCTGAAAACCTGGTGAGCCGGAATAAGTCAATGAAATCCAGCATCCCGCGGGGATGACTGCTGAGCTCACACTCTCATTGGTTAACTAGTTAGTTAACTAGTTCCGGCCCACCGGGTTTTGCATTCTATACAGAGAGGGACTTTAGTCAACTAATTAACTAGTTAGTTAGTTACCACAAAGCATCGTCTATCGATCCTGGGGGCCGAGAACAGCGGTCAGACTGCAAGGATGATAACTTAGACTTTCCGACATAGCGCTTGATCTCATCGGTTGTTCTCGACCCACAAGGTTGTTCATCATCATTACAGGAAGGGACGTTAAGTTATATTTTAATCAAGAAAAATCCATCCATACGCAACAAAGGAACTTCATATAACAGAAGCTAAGCATCATCATATTGCGATCATCCTAAAAATTTGTTTCGCTTCTTGATAATTGTCGGTAACCTTTCATTTCCCTATTCCTATTCTAGTCGTTGTCATCGCTGTCATCGCTGTCACCGCTGTAATCGCTGTCGTCGCTGTCCTCACTGTCCTCGCCGTCCTCACTGTCCTCGCTGTCCTCACTGTCCTCGCTGTCCTCACTGTCCTCGCCGTCGCTGCTCTCCGCAATGTACTCCTCGCTTTTTTCATTGGGAGGAGTCTTGACGTCGCCTCTCTTCGCTTTTTCTATTACTTTATTTCCCTCGAATTGACTCTGCAGACTTTTTACGTCCAGTGGGCGGTGGCTTTTGGGTGCAGGTACAAAATCAGTTGTAGTTGTATTATTTTCCAGCCTCAAACCCCCCATGTCTACCGGCATCTGACGCCCTTTAGAGTCTGTTGCATTCTTCTTCACATGAGATAGTCCTTCTAGATATTTTACGATCCGTGGAATATCGCACTCTGGGGTTTTCCGTAATAATGCAAGCATCAACTCCCGCTTTTCTTCGGGTAGTGTGACCAACTGTGCGGCTGCGTCCACCTGATTGAGGCTCAACAAGTACGCTCCCAAGTCTTTGGGTTCCAATTTATCGAATGAATCCAGCAACAATGGCCTTGGAAGTTTACCCAGAAATCCTATTCTTTCGTTTTCACTAAGTGACCTCACGAACTTGCTGAATGACTTTGGGTATTTGTTCATTCCGTCGCGCATATTATCGGACGTTTCATCGAATTCGGCCATTCTCATACTGAAATCCTTTAGAGAAACTTTCGATGCCATTTCGAAATGGTAGAGGTAAGATAGCGGTGAAAAAAAGGACGTGACGACTGAAAAATCTTTCACTTTACTGTTCTTTGCAAACAGAGCTTAGGTTTTATAGGGAAATCATGATATAACAATTATTAAGAAACAAGTCTTTTGTGAACAAGGAGTAGCATCGCAAACCGCTGACATGGGATGTGCTCTCACAAATGTGTGAGAAATTAACGATCATCATTCCAAGTTTCGAGACGTTGCCAAAATGAAAGAGCTCACCAAACTCTTAAGATTATATGGATAAAGAAATTGTTTTGCTTTGTAAGCAGAATACTGATTTTTTCTCATGTAGAGGCGAACGTAGTCCGAGTAGTGCCTACATGTTTGGATGACTATATGACGTTAAGAATAAGACATAGCCTATGCAAAGCTATTGTGCATGTTTCTGATAGAGTTCTGGCTGATCGGGGCTTCAGGGAATTCAGTTCTCATTTGCTAGGGGCAGGTTTCTCATATGTGATACAAGCTTGCCAGAATTCTCTTTTACTCAGTTGGGAATTACGTTCGAATTACCTGTTCCAGCATTCCTAAAACTCTGAGACATGGTATGTCTGATCTCTCGTGGTACAGCTCCATAGCCACTAACTTCCACAATATACCTCCTTACCTTCTTAAACGATGCCGCCATCGTTGGTCTATCATGCCGGACGGCCGGGAGAATCGACAGTTTAGACTCGCTTTGGGACTTTCTATTGCAAAAGAAACATGCGTCTAGTGAGATTCCACCACGTCGATGGGAACCTTGGCGACAGCGGAGTATGCTCGAAGGAAACATCTTTGACAGCGTCACGCGGAAGGGATACTTCCTCGATGACCTTGAAGGCTTTGACGCGGCTTTCTTCGGCATTTCACCTCGAGAGGCAGAACACATGGATCCTCATCAAAGGCCTAGTCTCGAGCTTACGTACGAAGGCTTACAAAACGCGGGCATTCGGCCTGACAGGCTCGCTGGAAGTGATACTGCCGTATACATAAGACCCAAATGATTATTCCCGTATGCTCATGGAAGATCTACAGGCCATAGAGGCATGGAGTGGGATTGGTACGGCACACCATGGCATCTCCAATAGGATTTCGTACCATCCTGACTTAAGAGGTCCAAGCAGAGCAGTAGATGCAGCCTGTGCGAGTTCGCTTGTCGCTCTCCATCTCGCCCGCGGGGCTATTGTCTCGGGAGAGAGCACTTTGGCAATCTGTAGCGGCGTTAACGTCATTTGTACTCCTGAGATCACGTGTATGCTACAGAAAGCTGGCGCGCTAAAGGCGGATAGTGTGTGTCGATCCTTTAACGCCGCCGCCAGTGGATACGCGCGTGGTGAGGAGTGGGGCATCATCATCCTCAAACGGCTAAGCGCTGCACAGGAAGACAATGATCACATCCTGGCTATGCTGAAGAGCTCTGCTTCTGCCTAAGATGGCAAGACGAGGGGTATCATGGCACCGAATGGTGCAGCGCAAGTAGACGTGGCTAGACAGGCCCTCTGTCGCGCTGGTAATATCGATCCATGTACAGTAGACTACATCGAGGCTCATGCTACATCCACACCGCTCGGAGACCCTGTAGAGATCAAAGCAATGGCCGGGGTGTATGGACCAGTGAGGTCTCCAGAGAACCCCTGCTATCTTGGCTCCATCAAACCCAACGTTGGTCACCTTGAAACGGCAGCTGGCGCTATCAACATTGTTAAAACCGTTCTTAGTGTGCAAAGAGGAATTATCCCACCCCAGAGGCTCTTGGAAAATTTCAATACTAACATCGACTGGGATTCTAGCGGTCTGAAAGTCCTACGCGAAGGAAAGATATGGCCTGAAAATGGCGTGTGGCGAGCGGCAGTGTGCTCGCACAGCTACGGGGGGTCTGTCTGCCACGCCATCATCGAGCAGGCGCCACCAAAGCCGATGCACAAATCCGAATCTCGTAATAAGAAGCCTGTTACGGTGACCCTGTCAGCGAGACAGAGAGATCGTTTGCCTATCTATGCGGCTTCACTGGCACATTGGCTGTCCGCTCAAGGCGCGTCCGAGAACATGATCACAGTAGCATGGACACTGACTTAGCGCCGGATAGCCTATGATCATAGACTATCCGTTGAAGTCTCGAGCCATGAGTGTGCTATTCGAAGTCTGCGCAGCTACGCAACTGGTAATCCGAATGCAAGAACCATCAGCAACCGTGTCATTAGGAGCGCAGCTCTAAAAGGAGTCGTATGGGTATTCTCAGGTCACGGAGCTCAGTGGCCCAATATGGGTCAGCAGTTGCTTCTCAACCTCGTCTTTCGCAACAAACTTTCCGAAATGGAAGTAATGTTCCTGAGAGAAGCAGTCTTCTCCACCATTGAGGCCTTGCAACAGGGCGAACTTGGGGGTCTGGACAAGATTCAAATGCTTACGTACGCGGTACAGATCGGACTGGCCTTCGTCCTCCAAGCAGAAGGTGTCGCTCCTCAAGCTGTCATTGGGCATTCAGTCGGTGAAATCTTAGGTGCGGTAGTTGCGGGCTGTCTGACTAGTGAAAGGGCGCGATCATTGTTTTGCGATGAGCCAATCTATATATGCGGTTTCAAGGCTGCGGCGCTATGGTGTTAGCAGATCTACCATTTGAAGAAGTCGCTGCGCAGCTTGGTGGAAGGGAAAAATATCGTCGCTACTATCAAGTCATCTCCCTCGACGTGCGTAGTGAGCGGCATAAAGGGAGAATTTGAAGAATATCTGCGTCAATTGAAAGATCAAGGTATCAAGACTTGGAGAGTTGAGACAGATATCGCATTTCACTCACCCTTGCTCAAGCGGCTCGCTCATGATCTACAGGGAAGCTTGTAGCACGTTCTACAACCCAGACCCAGTATCTTACCTATATATTGTGGTGTAGTATCACGTGGCTAGCCCGTAGTATATATTGCGATATTCTTTCGTATGTAGATAGGTTCTATCTACTCGATTGCGGGTCCCCCTCTGATCTTTTGAGCTCGATCACGTATCGTGCCACAATATTCAACTTCGGACTCTGATCCTAAGACAGAGGTACTGCGAGACGTGAGCTACTGGACCCACAACAAGGTGGCTCCTGTGTACCTAACCAATGCGGTAGATGCCGCCGTGGAGCATGGCTTCCGCGTCTTCCTTGAAGCATCAACCCATCCCATCGTTTCGCAGTCGATCAAAGAAATTTTGGAAGCACGGTGTCTAGGCGAGCATGCTACTTTTGGTGTCATGTCTTTCGACGAGCCATCTGATCGCAGCATTGCACAGGCTATCTCACGGCTGTACACCTTGGGTGCACATGTTGATTTCAGTGCCCAGCTCGGCGACGGCCCATGGTGGAACAGACTTCCCAACACACTGTGGATCCACAAACCGTATCGGAAGATTCCATCTTTCGGCCCCAGGCCCTGTGTCCAGTTGCTTGCAGCGACACATGTGTCTGGACTACAACTCTGAACGAATCAACAAAACCTTATCCTCTTACCCATAGGCTTGGTGCTATAGAGTTAGTGCCTGCAGCTGTTTATTGCAACAGTCTTCGAGACGCAGCAAGTACACGCTGCATCAGTGACCTGACGCTGCGTCAGTGACCTGAAGCTGCGTGTACCCATATTTATCACAGAAGAGACACGTGAGCTACAGGTTGTCCTACGGGGTGGTGCAGCTTGGATATCATCCCGTATGCAGGCGTCCGAACAAGAATCCGGTAAAAGTGGGCGGAAGCACGCATAGATCGAGCACTATACTACGAAGGTTGTCCCGTGTGATTTGGCACCCAACCAACACCCACAATCTATTGCTGATATCCGAAAGCGAATGGTAACTCACTTTCCGAACCACTTTACAAAAGATTACCTCAGCAGTATAGGTGTGTCCTCTATGGCGTTTCCGTGATCCGTCCTCGAGCATCTTGGCAATCACAAAGAGATGCTCGTCCATGTTGACATGCAGAGTGATATCGACACGCTGCCTTAGCATGCTCAGAGCTGGGCACCCATGATTGACGTAGACGCGTCCATTAGCTCATGCATTCTTTCAAAGTCCACTGTGATGCGCATCATCAGTGGCATTGACAAGGCGGTCTTTGTTTCGAAAGACAACCCGCCAAACATTGGATACTTGTTGATTGAGTAAAAATCGGTGAAAGAACCCCCAGAGTGTCGATGTCGATATATGAATGTTAATGGCACGCGGCTATGTAGACTCGAGGGCATGCAATGTAACGACATCGAGTCAGAGAGCCATACCGGTCCTGACATAGATACGCTTCTGCATCAGTTGGTGTGGCGTCGTCCAGCTGTCCACGAAACGCCGCGGCTCTTGGATAATGTAATTCTGATTGTTACCGACGGCTTACATTTGACCAGTTACATCCAGGATCTAGAGCCTAAGACGCACAAACTTCTCCACATATCGTCTGTGAGGAGATTGACAGATCTAAGAATAACTGACATCCTAGTGAGAAGTAATGCTGTCGTCCTCTACGTCCCGGAAAGGGTGATGGGGACCCAAGATGCTACTAGAATAGCGCACGCCGCTGTGTACGATGCAGCAAACATATTATCTACACTCGTGCACGTTGGAAGCACAACAAAGGTGTTCGTGCTATTGAGTGATTTGCACAAGACCCAACGCCTCGGTCGGGTTCCCTATCACTCCTTGTACCGGTTCTCGCGCGTAGCGACTTCCGAACACTCTGATATCTGGGGCGGCTTAATCGATCATGAAGGGACAGCATTCCCTCTCTTTGCTGTCCAACGTGTGCAAGAACAAACTGTCGTTCGAACACAAGACAACACGCCACGCGTAGCACAGATGGAATCGCTCCCTGTGGACACCAAGTCCGCCCATCGCCCTACTAGTCTTTTACCTCAACCCGGCGGGACTTATGTTGTCACCGGTGGGCTGGGGGGATCTTGGGCTGGAGATACTCGAGTTCCTAGTCGAGAAAGGGGCGCGCAGTATCATTGTTGTATTGCGCCGCATGCTTCCACCTCGACATAAATGGTCGACCGCATCAAGACCATTGGCTGTGGTGCTGGAACGTATCCAGCAACTGAAGATGAGGGGAGTGGAAATACACACCCTGCAGCTGAACATGAGTTCTCGCAGCGCATCTCACAAGCTCACAGACGCTATTAAGCGTCTCTCCCCTCTTCCCGTGCTGGGTGTTATCCATGCTGCGGCTGTACCGGGGTTTGGATATATCAAGGATACCAATGCCGAGAGCTACGCAAGCGTGATGGCGCCCAAGATTGCAGGCGCTCTCGCTCTGCACGAAGTTTTCCCACCTGGCACCCTTGATTTCTGGCTTGTTTTGTCATCTATCAGTGGAATTATTGGGACGCTAAGTCATTTTGCGTACGCTGCATCGAACGCGTTTCTTGATGGGCTAGCTGAATATCGGCTGTCCCAAGGCTGCAACAGTATTTCCATCCTGTGAACAGTCTGGCGTGGGCTGGGTCTAGCATCAAACACCACCATTGTGAATTCCGAGCTACAGGCTGCAGGCATGGGAGACATCACATCGGCAGAAGCCTTCGAAGTGTGGCAACGCCTCTCCGGCGTCAACACTGACCACGCAGTAGTCACTCGGCTACAAATACCCGACGCTGACGAACCAGTGCCAATTGATCTCATTCGCGAAGTTGTACTACGCCGCGTATTAGCTACAGGGCCATCGAAGGGACCATTGTTTAATCTACAATGATTGACAGGATCCGAGCTCAGAGCTTACGTTACAGCCAAAATCCGCGAATTTCTTTCAAAAATCCTAGATGTCGACCAACGCGATATTGAAGAGAAAAGCAAATTGAATGAAATTGGTATGGATTCATTCGTTATTTCCAAGCTGTAACAAATGTTGCGGAAGGAATTGCCAACATCGGTACCAGTGCCGAGGAGTTTGTTCTGCGACTGCTCAACCATCAAGCACTTGACAAGTGGGCTGCCACGAAGTATAGAAGATACTATGAGCTCATAACATGGACTCTGTATGGCCCGGAGTTCACGATCATTTCCATGTCTTCAGTTAGTATGTACATACATATATAGTTCAGAAGCATCCGTATACGTCTCTGCATCATAAACTAGCGTTATATTGAATGAAGAATAAATGTACATCGTACGAGCTGAGCTGTGGCAGAAGGGGTGGCGTGAATTGTGTACGTCCCTGCTGTAATTAAAGTCCGCAGCACATTACCATCGTTCCATGCAACAACGGACTCAGGGTTCTCAAACATACTCTAAGGCCTGTAACCACAAATTAGCCTAAACGATACTGATTCCGTATGACATGACGAAAATGGTGAACACAAATCAGACGTGCTGCACATGAAACGAAAATGACATTCATGCCTATATGGATCTCTCCTGCAGAAGACCATGCAGAGAAGACAATAGCAAGGCATTCTTTTGGGTCACGCTCCAGCTAGAATATCAACGCGCAAGTGCCCATTCCAAAATTGATATGAATGTGAAGCTACAAACAGGATCCATAATTTCCTAAAATAAACACTATCCTGTACACGTGGCCTCCAGCATAGGACCATGCAATCAGATGACCACTCCCGGCAATCCCACTGGACGGCCATACTGACTGAAAAGAATGTCACAGTGCCATTACTGAGACGTCTCGTTCTTTGCTAGCGCTGAGACAAACTGCTCAGAGTACGCTGAGTCGACAAACTCGTCAAACTTGGTCACCTTCCTACCGTCTTCTGTAAAGGTCAGAATCAATGCATACTCATTTGCGTAGGGCCCAATCTTCGTTTCCGCTCTGCTAAATGCGTGTATGATACATTTCCGCGCTCCAGCATCATGTATTTCTTCCTTGATAGTGACCTGAAGCTGTTAGTGAAGAAACATTTGAGGAGTCCGTGCGTTCTGACAGTAAAATTCGAGTACAGGTGCATGACTTCGCTAAGGTAGGCCCGGTATTCGGCGTTGCTCCTGGCGGCTCTGTGCATAGAGGTGGGTAATACGCGGTGTTTGCAATCAGGTGACCGATAGGCCATGATGTCGTCGATGTCCCAGGCGTTGTACGCCGCTATGACGGCCCGAGCTGTATCTTGCTGAGCTACCAAACTATGGTTGTCAGGAAAATAGTTCAGTCTTATGAAGATTCCATCGGACACCTCTTTGGCATCCTGCCATCTGTGCTCGTGGTAAGGACATACTTTGGGTGAGGGTCCATGTGGGCATCGGTAAGACACTGCTTCAAGTCCAGGCCAATCCAAACATCGCTTGACTCCGTTTTGGGGCTTTCCAGCGGATGAGAAGCGGCAAGGAATGATAATGTTGTAGTAACTAGATTGACAAGCTTCATGGTGGGTGCGTGAGGCTAGGCTGAGGGTAAAAGTTGTGTTCAGGTCGCGCATGAGACGGCCTGTTATATATATGGGGATATATGAACTGCATCAAGCAAGAACGGTCATCAGGGTCTATTCTACTTCGCGTTCACTATCTTGCAGTGTCTTACCCACGACGTATTTAGTTATGAAGAAGCTGATGATCCCGTCATCTTCTACTAGAAAATACTAATAATTCTAGTTGATGCCCGGCGACTGTGCACTGCTAGAAGTATGATACCATCCGTAGCCATGCAGGTCTCCATTACTAGTTGCGCTGACTGCAACTAAGGCTCAGCAGCCCCAGTATGGCGACCTCACGAAGCAAGCCATATCTTTTTGAGCTCACACTGTACACATCATTTTGCTAGCCACAAGCAAGGATAGTGGTAAAGCCGGGACGTGAGATTCACTGCCATATTGTTCCTTGAGAACATGTGACTTGCTCGTAAGTAAGGACGACGTAGAATATATCGTTCTCTATCGGGTAAATCGGCTCGGCGTTTGATTTGAGTTGTAAGAACAACTGCCACGTAGCACAGCGCGCACACCCAGCGACACATGTCTGGATGTTCATCTTGAGCTCAAACTCGTTGCCCGCTGACTTTAGCAAGCACCCTTTGCAGTTACGCTTCTTGAAGCAATAATAAAATTCATAAACGTCCTCACCACCACGAGACGGAATAGACCCGCGTGAGATAGCCCCAGCAGCGAAAACACCAGACACGGAAAATCCCCTTTACGAATACAGGACGACTTGGATCTACAATTAGTGTCCTGGACACAGTTGCAGGAGATGAACCACATGTACCATTATGCTAGCAAGAGCTCGAAAATTTTGTTCGATTCAGTCTGGAGAGAGATTAGAACATGTGGCAAACTGCTCTTCACAAAGCCAGATTGGTCGCTGAACCTTCCCAACGGATCTTTGGAATAAATCACACAGTCTTTTGGCTTGGTAGGCATGCTGATATGGACCGACTGTTTGGCAATTTGCTACGCCGCAAGCGAGCGGATGCAAGCTTCCAACACTTTACTAGCGTCGGCCAGCACGCCGCGCTGCACCACGCCATTTATGCCAAGAACTCTGACCCGGCTTCTATGCAGGAATTCGTCACTGTGCGATAATTTCTCCGGAACGCGTGTTAGGCGCTCGGCATCATGTTTGCAGCAAGCGACATGGCCGCCTGGTCCGGCACTGGAGGTTTTGCGTTCTTTCAGATCGCCATGCAAAATGCAAGGACGGGTTGACGCTACATACGTACGTAGCTCCTTCCTAGCCCCACAGTTGAAAAGCTGATCGCATGCCTTTGCATCCTGTTATCACCATCAGCACACGATAGCAAGAACTGTATTGTCCGCACTGCTGATGTAACGTATAGTTGCCGGATCGAAGACGCGATATGCATGTGGCTAAGTTCTCAAGTATACAGTCTAGGGGCTTCCGCTAGCAGCTACGTTCATCCACTGTGACCTGTTTTCGACTTCCTCCGAGATGTGATGTTATGCAAATGATCTGCGCGGATTAACACGGCACATTACTACGGCCCAGTATCACACTGCAGCCGTGACAGACTGCTCGTTATCCCTAGATGGTCCGGCAAACCTCTCCGCGCGCACTGAAGTGTAAGCTGCTTACCACGAAGCGCTTAATGATTGCGGCGTGGTCACTGTGGCGTGGCCTCGTACTGTGCCGTATGATCCTTCAAAATGCTTACGGTCATTCCTGATCATACCATGCTGACCCACACTATGTTGCGTTCGGCCCCCAGCCCCCAGCCCCCGTTACCAGATTTGAGCATCGCAAAGACAAGGCACTGCTCTTGCGAGTAGTTCGCTTCCATCACAGGCGCGAATGCAAGCTGGAGTCCGCGAAACCCGCGGATGCAATGCTGGTACAAGTGACGGGGTCTTGCCCACAACGCTAACTTAGACTCGCAGGGCTGTACCGAGTCAGAACTCAAATGAAACGTCACCCACCAAAATTGTTCATCCAGATCTACACATGCGCTTTCCTTACCTAGGTAGCATCATGGAAGTCACGACTTTTTGGGTCTTGTGCCGCTCAGACTACCAGCAAGAATATGCAGGACGCGTTTAGTAGATGCGTATGATCATGAGCACGAATCGAGCCAGTAGGAGTGATGGTACAAGAACACAGCCTGATGCGCATACTACGTAGCATCTCAGAGAAGAAATCGAGGCTTGAATCTTTGCAACGATTTCAACAGGCCATCGTCCTTCAGGTCTGGTCTAGACTGCTACGGCTCTGATAGAAGTCTATTTCATGCTCGAGATATGCCGAAACGCTTATTTACGGAGTTCTGGATGCGCATGGTCTGACGCAGGACGCCTCTTTTGTTGTCTGTCGCTAATACTACTGGGGCCTCTTCCCCGTTGAGCTATCTCAAGTAGTGGATGCGAAGGTCAGGCTCATCGATTCTGTTGGCTACTCGATCCCAGGACCGCTTTTCCCACGGCTTGTCAAACAGCTGACTAACGAAGAGATTGACCTCACGCTGGCGAGACGGGGCTTGCTTGATCATCCTGTAGCAGGCATACCTTCGCAGTAAGTGCTCATGGTACCCTTCTCTTCTCCATGCTTCTGTCAATGCATCAAGGTTAAGCGTCTGTCCTGCGTTCGCCTCACCTCCTCTAATCTGTAAGGTATCTTCTCCAAAGGTATCTAGTTTTAACAGAGTCTTAAGGATAGTATTTATGGGGTCGGTGATACTGCTAGGAAGTCGCCTAGTGATGCAGGGCTGCTCAGTCTGCCTTGGCGCATATACCCATAAAATCTCTTCTCTTTTGTCGTCTTCGTCTCTCTGGCTTTGCTGTCGGATGTTGGTGCAACAATTCTCCAGTGCGAGACAAAATTGGGTCAAAAATGCTTCTGCGTATCCAAAGTGGAGGTCTCGCCTCCTTTGCAGAATCCGGCCTGCGCATCCCGAGTCAACGTGATGCCTCAGTTGACCAATTAGATATCTTTGCAATTCTGGCGCGGGCCATGGTTTTGAGGAAGCCTCCTTCGTCGCTAAGCAAAATATCTCCTCGTACGGCAGAATAGTCAAGCCGTAGTGGACCACTTCCTCAAGTCGGCCTCTCAAGCTACGCTCCCAGTCTATGCCAGCAAACTTCGAGCCATCGCTTATGAAGACCTCGGCTTCGGTTTTGACAGATATGGGAGGCTCGGATTCAGACATGCCCCGCTTTGTATTTGAGAAAGTGCCAGCCCTGCAACGAGGGAAGAAAAGCTGAATTGTGTGTCCTTTTACTAGAAGAGAATATACTAAGATACAGAAAATCAGACGTGCAGCAGCTGTATATTCAAAGAGCTTGTAGTGACCAGCCTTTGATTTATCCAGATTTTTTTGACCCCCTACTTAACGCTGCCTTCATTTGTACTGGCACAGACCTTCCACTATACAGAATACCTTGCGATATTATGCTGATCACTAAAAAAAAGTACAGTAAACGCGCAGAGGGTGATGAGTAAGCAAAATCCGTACTCAGTGCACAATAAGTTGCTGATGTACTAACGTGAACACAGAGGCAACGCCAAGGATTGAACGAAATTCAGCGTGCCCGATGAACATCTGTCAGCATAATCGTATCAAAAAGCTATTCCCATGCTTGTGAAGGCTTCACGGAAGCGTTGTTGCAAGATGTCCTTGCGCTATGTGTTGATGCGTTGCTATCCTCCAGTACCACATACAGAGTTCACGCTAAGCAAGTCAAACCGAAGAATTCTTTCAACTCCCAACAGTATTTAGTTATAAGAACCTGACTATCGAGGTGGATTACAGAGCAAAATCTGCAATTATGTCTGGGCGTGCGCTACCGGACGGCGGCATCGAGCTTCATCGCCAAACAGCCTCAAAGACATGCGTTTTCTGGGACGAATTTCCTCCCTTTGTTCCCAAACGCACAAAGCCCTTCAAGGAGGAGTTTGATCGTTTGGCTAACCAGGAGGGATGGGGCAAAAAGAAAAAGCGCGAGTATCTTGTGAAGGCCTTGAACGCTGAGATCGACTTCCATAGCGATAAGACAACCGGATTAGTTCGCTGGCAACGCCTGTGCCAAGAACTCGGGCTTAGCAATGAGCCAAAATCAAAAACGCAATGCAAGAGAGTACGTCCTCGGACTATTCTTTGAAAATCTCCCCATGATACATCTTATGTAGGGTGGTACCATTGCACCTGATGTTCTGACCAATTCCAGGTTCTCAAATCCCGCTTCGTGAACCTCTATACACTTTTGGATCACCGTCGAAACCCGGATGTCCCGGTGGTATGCTTCAACTCATTCAAGGAGCTCCTTCACGACATACGCAGAACAGGAAACTTTCCACGCGAGTGTGCGAAGCAGGACGGATATATGAAGATTTTTTTGCAAAGATTGTAGCATGATGTACACCTAGTGTTGCTCGAGTATTTATAGCAAAATATTCAACGCGTCCAGTTTTCTTCATTTGCCGTGATGCTTGCCGTCGAGCATGGACTTACAACTTGCATTTCCTCCATGACGAGAATGAGAGTTGAACAACGACACAACGTAACAGACCGATAGAATGTAGGACTTTTCTGGTATGATATTGCAGATGAGCATACGTAAGGCTGCTCATAGTATTGCACGCCTTTGTACATTCAACAATGATTTTGGAGATTGCCCATCAAGCTAAGCCTCTGATACCTAACCGTGCGCTGCATCTAACATCCTCAAGAACAGATTAATGGGTTATATACTCAAATCATTCCAGTAAGTACTTAGGCCAAGCATCGAGAATGCAATTTAGATATTCCACTATATGTTGGGCATTGTAGCAGGTCGGGAAATTAACAAGGTGTAATACTCTGAGTATTCTACGTGCCCGTCGCGTCCCTTGTAGAAAAACATCGAGGCCATAATAGCACAGCGAGGCGATCTTGGTGGATATGTCAATTACCGCGATGACCCTTCCTGCATCCGAAAGGCCGTCTAACTATGATACGCAATCGAACTAGATTTTACGAGAACTCCACACTTTTTTAGCCTACTGCAATTTTCGTAGCGACCGTTGTCAAGGCATATGTGCGTACTTGAACCAACCGGGTACCACTGGCTGACAGTCTCGTAGGGGTTCTTCGGGGGGGCCTTCGGGGGGTTCTGAGTCAACGGAGCAAGCAGTCGTAGAGGAGCCCCCCCAATTCACAGTCCCAGAGATTATGTTCACTGAAGTTTTATAGTCCTGTGGTTCGTATGTCTCTGAGTTAGGCGTTTTCGAATCTTCGCTCGTCATGTCGAAGATATCTGGTGATGAAGCGCGTTCAGGATGCGCTGCAATAAGGTGGTTTCGAAGCTCTACGAGAGCTGGTGATGGTATGGGTGACTTGTTTGCGCAGCTTGAGACAGGTGTATCAGAGCTCGGGTCGTGCTGGTTCGGATGTGGATGATCCCTCTGCAGAGCGCGCTCTGTGCTCCTCAGTGTCGGGTAAGCATTCTCCAACTCTGCGTATAGTTGCTCTCCAAGATTCCTAAGACTTATGTGGCCTGTTAGATTAATTATATCAACAATGGATAAAAGGCTCTTACAGGCTGGCTAGTGCATAATAATTCAGCCAGAATTCTAAAATCGACTTCAAGGCATTTACAAACGTCTCCGATTCCTAAAACACTCTTTCATTACAGGCCAATATAGGATTCAACAGGTTTAACATTTTCAAAGAGAAGTGGCTTAAAGCTCAGGTAGCTGCGTATGGCTATGCCTTTCCTAAGCAGCCGAACTTCTTAATAGCGGCCAGTATACGATGTCTAGACCATCTTTCTTTATAATCATCAAAAGATGTATAAAGCTTACTCGTATTACCCGATTACACCACCCATTATCAAAATTATACTAGTGCTTTCTCTACTACTAACTTATAGCAAACTTGCTAATAGACTACAAGTAGCATTTCCTAGCTTCTACATTCAGTAGCAGAACTAATCACAACTCCAACTAAGCCATTATTTCCCATTCTATATTTCCATCGTGGTATTATATAAGATACAGCTACTACCAATAATTCAGCAACTTCTGTAGGATATGAAAAGTAGTAGCAGTGTATCAGCTATGCAGCAAGCTGGATTAGACATACAGAAGGCCTCGCGGCCTGTAAAGGTCTACAGGCGCTTAAAAACATTATTACCCAGCGTTTGCAAAGAAAAGAAACCGTTGAATGTGTGGCGTAAATCACCCAGAGACTAAAATAGGTTTCATAGAGCTGCGTTTCGAATCGCTCTCGCATAGTACATTTTAATATACCTAATTCTCCTTCATACAAATACCTCTAATGATATAAAACATATATCCAATCATTTTCTCTGCTCTCAAGAGAAGCCACTAAATACGTATAGCGCTTTTTGTCTTCCAAGTACTATCGTGTTATATACAGTCAATCATACGCCTAGTATCTCGTCACCATAGTTATCTCATCTATTTCTAGTGATTCTAGACCCCAAAACCCGGCGGCTTTCAGAATTCTAACAATGTGCAAGCTTCCATCACGACCCATTTCAGTATAGAGGAATCAAGACCACTCAGTAGTTAAAAAACACTACAGTTCAATACCTGAGTTTAATGTTCTTCAGGCGGGTACATTTTCGAAACACCCTGCATTTACCTTGTATATCAATTGGTTGGATGTATGTCATCGAGGCCGCTGTTCTAGAACTGATGTGTCAGATTGTGATGGTTTATCAAAGATGGGTAAATCAATTGGTTGGTGAGTGATAGTGTTGATTGATGATAAGGTTGTCTGCTCTAATCCGTGCTGATCAAAGGGATCGAACACGGTGATCCACGCGCGCTGTCTGATCTGACTAGTAATCCACAGAATCCGGGTGCCCGATCCACACCCTAACCCTGTCCACCACCCAATATATGCCCACATTCTGACATGATGCATGTCCCAATCAAGAGCACTTGATCTAGACACTTCTCGGCGCTTGCTGCATTCCGTCGCAAGAGAGAGCTTTGTTTCTTGTTCTCGATACAGCTAAGCAACAGTAATTTACATCTAGAGAATCACCATAAGTAGCCATGCTATCAAATTTCCCTCACGCATTTTTGTAGTAGAATCGTCAATATGATTGTTACTGTTATGCTGATGAACAGCACGGGTCTCAGTCTCGTCGTTGGTGACGTTGTAAGACTCTATCCTTGCTTTATAGACGCTGATACCGTGTACTCGCCAGGACAACACCGCTTTCTGGTCGAGCTCGTCATTAGCGACTTCCCTAAAAAGTGCTACTGAGGGATGATTAACGTCCACTCTTGAAAGTATTATACGGCCCGAGTGTACAAATAATCTTTTAGGCCGTTTCTTATCAAGAGCCGGGCCAGACAACCTTTCATTGCGCTTTCCGTCTTCCCCGCCACAGTCGATAGTATCTGATTGAGCAGATTTGGATTTTTTCAATTTTCCCGCAATATATTCTATGTCTGCCTTGATGATAGGGTCTCCGTCATTGAGAAACGACAGGAACAGGGAGCGGGAAGAACGGGCGTCTTCCCGCCGATGATGCTGCAGCGGGTCGGTCGATATCGGGGGGCATCCGAATAATATGCAGTGTATGTTTGTAAAATCCTTCGTGACAGTCACCAGCCGAGACGTCACTTCAGATAAGACATGGGCATATAGGAGGCTCGCTGTGGCGGCTCCCGCGGAATGGCCTGTGAATAAAAGCGTCGACCTGTCTTCGTAGTTGTTCAGACAGGTTGCTAGTGGATCAATGAGCGATCTAGAAGCATTCAAAAAACCGCCATGGCATAGATTCTGCTCCTGTCGAGTTGTATCAGTGCGCAATCGACTTACAGGCAGACCGACTATATCTCTTGAATCATGACGGCCGCTATTGAAATTTACTATCCAGTCTTTGATGCCCTGGGTGCCGGGAAGAGCAACCACAACGACTTTTCCATGCGACTCCACTGTTCGCTGGCTAACCAATGTTCTCTGGAGTGCATTGAACTGCGGTGCGCTAGACACAACTGCAGTGCTGTAGGCTTCTTCTGAGCAGAACACTGCCAGGCGAATGAGAGGCCAAGGTAAGTTTGGTCTATCTGTCGCATCAGCGCTCTGTTTTTTGCATCAGGCCAACGTACCTATGCATATTGAGAGACACAAATGCCACTTGTGCACACATACGCAGGGATGAGTCGTAATCGCCCGTATAGGGGATGTATACCTGCTGAGAGCACGGCCACTTCACAAACATTGGGGCGCTTTGTTTTGGCATCACTGCCAACCTTTTATCAAAAAAATCAAGGTCATTGGCCTGATGCTGGTCACCCTTAGCTGTAAGAGCTAACGTTAGATGCAGTCAAGCACAGTAAATCAAAATCGTAATCACCCCCAACATCAGCTTAGAGGATGGCATATCCTTTATTACAAAATATATCGGGGCAGCATAATCACGCCATTGAACGTTTCGTCCTCAACGACTCTAATGATGTAGTTAGTTAGGCTAGTGGGATCTTTGTTTCTGTGAATGAATCACCAGCACTCTATGTTGCCATCATCGCAAGCAGTTCTGCTGTGTCAGCAGTCACTAAAACGTCTCCTGAGAGAAAACTGAGTAGATTGTAAGCCTCTTGTGTCTGTAGAGTCTATTCATTTGGCTACTCGCGTTCTATTTCTGTCGATGAACACAAAAGCCTTGCATATGATGCGACGATACTATAAGGAAAAGCAAACTGAAGCACAGATACTTGACAACATGACTATGCCATCTGGAGTCTCTATTGATTTGATATCATGCACCCTAGCTTCGCTGTGCACAACCAGGTATTTTCCCGGGTGTTGTAAGCTTGCGCGTAGACGATTTTTAACGGCTAATTGCGGGAGGTCTCGCTGGGTCCGAACACCCAGTCTTGAATTATCGTTAGTCAATTCCATTATTTACAGCCGGGCCAACGTTTTTGGACTTGACTCACACTGGGCAGCGTAATTGACTTCAAAACTGCCTTGTAGACCTTGGCAATCCACTGGTCCCTTTCCACCAGCTGTCTCGAGGCGATATACGGCATCAACACCTCCCACAGAAGAGCCGGCGTCGGTGAGATGCAGCCAAGGAACCGCCCCTTCCTGCTGCAGCCCGGGGTAGGCTGATCTAGGAGCATCTGTTTCCTCAACTTTTTCAACGTGGGCAATGGGATAAGGCGGCTCAGACAGCTGGTCAAAGGCAAAGATTGGTAGGCTCGTGCCATTTGCAATTCCAAAGAAGTGGTGCCCAACCACTCTGTCAAAGCCTTCCAGTTTTAAATAGCTGTCTAACGCTTGTGGATGGATGCTTAAGAGAAGGGTAAGAGCAGATATCGCTGGAAGCTTCCATTTTGCAGCTAGCAGGTTGGTACTGAGCTTGCTACCAATGTCGTAAAGAACGGCTTTCAGTATGTCAGCAGTATCCTCGTCATAGTGCGAACTCTAGATACCTGTTGCGCCTGTGGTGCTGGGTGCGTCAAGCTCTCCGCCATTGGCACATGTGTAATTTTGAGTCCCGAGGCCCAGTACAACGTGCTTGAGCTGACCAGTTGGAGCTACAAGGGAACTTTGAGGCATAAAGCCAGCAAGAGCGTTGAGAGAGTTTGCCGAAGTATGGCTGGGCTCATGGTACTTGGCTGCGGCCAAAGCATGAGCGGAGCCACCAAATGAAGCAAAATATAAACTACTCCATATGAGCGATGAGAAAAGCATTTCGGGTATCTTCTAGCAGATATAAAAGCTTCTTAGCACACCGATTAATTGCTCAAAAATACTTGCGGGAACTGGCGTGCTATAAGTTCATGTCTGCTCAACGTAAAACCCAAAGCTCATTAACTAGTTAGCAATTAGCTTTCAATAAAATAACATAGGTTTGCCTTGTTCCATAAGCCGCTTACATGTGAATAGCACAACGAAGCTCGTCATTAATTCACTCCATAGCGTTGGTGCGATGACTAATGAAAAAGGAAATGAATTTTATGTACCCGTAAGGTTTCCATGAAACTTAACTAAAGTTGATCAAGTAGCTAAAGTTTTAAAGGGAGGGATAGTGCTTCTAGCTGTTGCAAAAGTATCAAGGCGTACGCAGATCTTGGTGCCAATCACGGCGAAAGTTCTGTACCGAGATGCTAACTTCATTTTTCTGACATGCGTACCGTTGTATCACCCACTTTGATAGTTTGAAGTCTTCAATGAGATTACACCTATATGTTATCGCCCAATAGTTACTTGGAGAAAACTGGCTTTTTTGTAACATCCATCCCTATGTGGCGCAAACCCAGGCGTGCTCAAGCAATCAATCAAATCACGAGAATTGGAAAACGGTCTTTCATTCAAGAAAACTGATTGGTTGCTTATGTCACGTCATGCTTTGCGTCACTAAGAGATGGACATTAGTATATTATGTCAACAGGGAGTGACGGTGAAAGGACTAAGCTACGTAGCTCTTCTCGCCATACATCACCAGGTCATACTTGGATTCTGCTACCACGTATGAAGCTGACAGTCTTAAGCCAGCTGCCCACACCACGGGGTTGGCTAATCCTGTTTGCCTTTCCAAGTTTGTATGCACTCTGTGCGGTCCAAATTCCATATCTTCATCCCACTATTGCAAGATGCAGACACTAGTTGATTTGAGTCCTCTAGGAAAGTCACAAAGGTAACATCGTCAACATGGCCATGTAATATATGTAGTTACGCACTGACCGGTCTTCATGTCCCAAAGTCTAACAATTTTGTCGCAAGATGCTCACGCTAGCTGATCCAAGCTAGATGAAAACGCCACAGAGGTAACGCAGTCTTTTGTGACCCTCGAAGGTTTACACGCTTTCCAAGTTCTGTGTGTCCCAGATCTTTATCATGTTGTCGCACGATGTGGACACTAGCTTATTGGAACCAGGTAAAAAAAAAGCACATCGTTAACGCAGTTTCGGTGACCTTTCAATGTGTGCCAGCATTTGCCACTAGATGCTTTCCATACTTTAACAGTTTTCTCACACGATGCAGACCCTAGGAACTTCGAATCATACGAAAATGCCACGGAATTGATGCGGTCGCTGTGTCCTGCAAGAGTTTGCGAAGACGTATCGTGATTTTGACACTGGAAAGGGCGCAAGAGGGATCTCATCTCGTATACGCTGCTATAATGGCGCAAAAATCACCGAATGAACCCATTTGAGTATTCGATACGGAGCGAGAAGTAATGCCGAGTGTATGGAAAGAGAAACGGCATTATATGCTTTTCGGTGATTGAACAAAATTATGTCATGGCAGACAAGAAGCAAATTGCTGACCCAATGGTCGATTCATCATGTCAGCCTTCGAACAAAGGACATATACCTTCCGAAAAGGCTAAATACCCCTGATAAGAGTCCTCAAACATATCTACACGGAAGATAGAGCCAAAACGTCAACGTCGTCAGCATGTTGACACAGGTATCTTTGACACGGTTTCATCAGTACCTTACAACACATTAATTAATAGTTCCATACAAATCTAGGTATATATTGGCTGTTTCTACGTGATTAAGACTGTGGACTCATATTTTCAGAGCGTTTTATAGTCGAATCTCAAGGTCATAGTTGAGATTAATGTTGAAGATGAATTGACTGTCGGTAATCCGTCTTAAGGTTCTCTAGACCCATAATGTGCTTTCCTATTAAATACTGAGGAAAGGCTCACACAATAACACTGCTGCTTAAGCAGCCGCCATGAGCATTATCCGCGCGCCACAGACAAAGTGCTTTGCATAATTAGGCATACGGGACGGCCATATGAGCTACAATCGAGTCTTCGCTGGTCTGCAAGATAAACATTTTGCGCTGCGCTGTTCCTGCACCTATAAAAATCTCCAACGTACACTTAGGGTGATCACTGTATACCAAGAACCTTTTCCAGAGACAATGCTACACAGTAAGATGTCTGCTTTGAATGCTGGCTATTGCTAATATCTGAGAGATGCACCGAAACGCAGAGGACGCTTGCCCAAAGTTGCGATAGGACTAAAAAGAGTTTTGGAAAGGATGCGAATGAGCACTTGGGAGAAAAGTCAGCCTAGAATAAACAGGATCTATGAGGATGTCGATGGATGGGTGGGCGAGGTGATCTGGAAGGACTCGAAAGTCGACAGATACCCAGTGAAAATCCTGTACATGAGGTGCCCACGAAAGGTCAGTAGTGCAAACTTGGTTGGGTGGCTGCTGGCTTAACTCAAACAGGTGTTCTCTTATTATGAGCATGCGATTAGTACACTGAGAGCCAAGCAAATAGGCGCAAAACAATTATCACAGCAGCGCGCACAGGAGTCGATACTGGAGCTCAGCACGGCAAAGCGTTCGGTTCTTGCTTCGCAAATATAAAAAAACCGAAAAGCATGCACATAGGAGCGAGAGGCAAACCTACGCTTCAAATCTAAGTAAAAAAACAATATTCAGTTGTGTAGTTCCAAGCTCCTTGGTACCATGGAGAATTTTTGTGCATCAAGTTTTTGAGAAAGCATGTGAAAGAGGCTGTTGTAGTTTGTTCCAACACGTGTGTTGTAAAGTAAAATCCTTTTGTAGGTATATTTTGGTGTAGTATCACGTCACTAGCTTGTAGTATATAGTCATTGCGATCTTCTTTCGTACGTACACAGACACCTTCTCCAATCAATCGTTCACAGCGACTACCTATCAGCTTACTTCTATCTTTTCGATTGCGGGTCTGCCGTTGATCTTTTCAGCTCGACCACGTATCGTGCCACGATATATATCTGTGAATAACACTCTACACTGCTCCTGCAGTTTACACGAAAACTCTTACGTAGTTATGCCGAGAACTAAAATTGACATGGTCAGTCTCGGTCTGTAGCAAGCGATTTATTCTCAATATCCATCTCCTATATCTTCGCTCGCGACCAAAGTCCCCATCCTCGCAGCCATGTGACTAATAGATCCGCATCAATTGAACTGATGGGAGGCAAGATCTCTTTCGCTCGGGCGTTCTCGTATATCATGCTGGTCTCTCTGCCGTTCCCCTGTGTACTCAAGAAGTTGTGTATTCTCAAGTTACCCTGGTTCATTCTTCGTAACCAGTCGGGCATATCAACTGACTGAACCGGAATTCCAAACCTTGTGCGCAAAACTTCATGCAGCAGATCCCAGCTATTTGGATGGGGATGTATCATGTTGAAGACTTGCAAGCCGTCTGATGGGCATGGGCGCTTGAGACAGTTCGCTATGCCGTGTGCAAGCACGTCCACTGGGATCCAATCCAAGGGCTGCACGTGCTTCGGGAAGACGCCAATCTTTATGGAAGATTGTATGATAGAATATAGCCAGCCTTGACGCGGCCATGCACAATCCTTTGAGCTCACCGGTCCGCCAATCTGGCCCGCGCGCAGTATGTTGACGCGAACGTTTGCAATTTCATGCGCTTTGGCAAGCAGCTGCTCTGCAACGCATTTTGACTGGCCATACCCAGTTGGCATTGCGCTGTCACAATCCCATACTACTTCTTCTGGAATGATGGGGCGGTCAGGATGTCGAAGTGGCCAGTCTCCTACAGCACAGATTGAAGAAATAAAAGTGATCCTAGTAAAGCCGCCGGCAGAAGCAAGAAGATCCACGACTCTGCGCAGCCCTTCTAATAGGTACTCAAAAGAACCAATGGATTTGCTCCAGTTGGTATCCCAGGCGTTGAAAACTAGCTCGTTTATCTGCGGCATTGACTTGGCGATGGGATCCTGGCGCGGCTCTCTGGCGTGGCTCATGATGCCAGTGACAAGGAACTCCAAACGTCGTCGCACGGAGGATATGTCGCCCATGATGTTCTGCAACGCTGATATGGTGCGCCGCTCACCACAGTTTCTGCGATTGAAGCAAACAATCTTGCACTCGGGATGCTCCCGCAGCAAGGACGCAACGATGTACGGTCCAAGAAAGCCAGTGGATCCTACAATAGCAAGGACTCTCGGTGAAGAAGAATATAGTATTGGTTTTTTGGTTTTCTGCGACAAAAATCCCGAATGGTGATTGACCATCTGCTGCATTTCTGAGACATTGGTGTTTTCGTGGCATCCTTTCCTGTGTATAGGCTGCGGGGGCTTGCACAGAGTCATAGTCGGGAATGACGTCGATTATTTGCCTGTTTGCAGGTCTTATTCCCCTCGCGGATTCAATTTAAGCTTGATGTAGGGTTTGCCTCGCCGGATGTCCAAAGTTTCCTCGGCATAGAATGGTTGCTGATGTAGACCGGTTTTGTTATATGTACTAACTAGTCGACAGATATAACTGGAACACATCGAAGCGAATACATGGGAGCCGGTTCGCGGTTTTATGATTGGATTGGAAATCATCATGATACTCTCAGAGAAATCGTTAAGAGCATTATACGTCAGCACATATTGAATGAGCCAAGAAATAGTCAGCAGCTGTGCAAGTACTACAATTGAATTCAAGGTGACAAGATAACCCTACCCCTCAACCCAAGCAACAAAACGTGAAGAAAGTAGCTCTTTCAAACAAATAGGAAATACTTTGGAATAGGGCTACTTGATAGCCTCTCTGAATTCATAATCAGCTATGCGGTCTCATGTTAGTGGATGTTGTCAGCGCTTTTGAATTTTCGATATGGCCACGGCATCTGAGTGAAGATTAGAATAGCGTTCTGGTTGCAGATCATTACCACTCAGTTAAAGAGAACTCAAGAGGATGTAGGCTGAGGATGACTGAACAGTGCTTGGAGTGTCACACGTGTACGGAATATGGCACAAACAAGCTGTGAAGTACCAGCAATCCCTGTGTGTGGACTTGTTAGGTGCTAATACACCAGGCATGTGCGCCCAAGCCCTCAATTGTTCAAAGATTAAGCAAACCTATTGTAGAGGGATCGATCAATAGAGGACGCATGTGGTGTTGTTCTAGCGTCCCCTCAAACGAATGAATACTGGGCTGACAAGGTGTGCATCACTCTAAAATCACACAGGCAGAATGTGAAAACGGGACCTATTGGACGTGGCGTGATTATTAAATATTGCTCGTTACCCTAAGCCTCGAAAGGGCATAAACGTGAATCAAGGTGCAGCCAATCGCTCTATGCTGTTGTTGTGTCTGGACTGTTGTGTCTGGACTGATGTGCTCCACCCACCTAGTTTCCGTACAAGGGAACTGTGATGATGTGAGATCTAGTCATATGTGATCTAGTTTCTTCAGTCATGCGAGTGCCTTCCAGATGCTGTGTATGGCCTAGGCAATCGTGATAGTCAAGCCCAAGGTACTGTGATTGGCTACGTCGAGTAAAAAGCGTATGTTCGGCACTTGCGTGAGCTCCATCCTTACGCGCGAACCTGATTGAACACCAAAAGGAGGTGTTCTCAAGTATGCAGTCAGCCGGCGCTCAGAACTGTCGTCGCCTGAAAACTGCTCCTGGGGAGTTGCTTCCAGAGATTGTATACCCGCAGCTGTGAGTGACCATTTCCTCAATCGACAACGTCCCGTGCAGAAGGAAAACAGCTGACTCAGCGTCGAAATAAGACCTAGTGATCTGAGTAAAGTGTTGTGCGCGTCACTGCAAAGCTTTCGTTTGTTACATGTCGTTATCGATGTTGGTTTGGGAGAGACACGGGGTAGTGAGATGAGCAGCGGACTTGCTCTCATCATCCGCAACCAATCCATCGGTGTCAGTCTCACTTCCTTCGAAAGACGGTCGCAGAAAGAGGGCACATACACCCATAAACCAACTGTACGATCCGGGACATCGTCAACCTTATACCATGACCCCTTGATAAGATTATTGGACAGTTTCATTGGCACACTGGAACTCATGACAAAGTCTCCCTTCGCATCAGTGTCCAAAAGAGCGCGAATGTGGCCCAGTCGATATTTGTCACCGTAAGATCGTACGAGGCTGGTATGTCTTGTAGTGCTGAATTCGATTAGTGAGTCGAGCCTCGCTGTCGGCGTGAATACAGGAAATGTGCCCAACATGTAGATTGTGAGCCTTCTGTTCCCGTAAGAATTCAGATAGTGTTCTGTCGCGTGCAATTGCTGTTTGAGTGCACAAGCGCCGTCTCCGAATAATGTTAGTTTCATTCCCTCTTGTGAAAGCTCTTCGACAGTAGGCACATCCCACACCAAATCCCAGAGCGACTTAAGATATTTTTCTTTCTCTTTCACAGTCAAGACGCACAAGTGTAAATTCATCAACTTTGCAGCATCAAACGCCGACAAATTGTCCAAGATTCTTCTCCGAATCGGCGGAGATGGAGAAGATATCCAGGTGATACAAGTCTCTTCTTCCCATCACTTTTGAAAAAATCCTCTTGTCGACGAGTAGTTACCGGTAAACTTTTGGCCATATAGTTCTTGCCTGGATAGGAGCATCTCGAAGGACGCAAATAACAGAAGAATTCAGTTGACCAATGAGTGTCGGCAGCCTGGGCACCTCTGTCGAACTTTCTGAATAGGGAATGGAGTGCTTACATCGAGGCTAGAATATCTGCTGAAACTGAGCGAGCACTTGGCGTGGGATATCATGTGTCGGACTTTGTAATCCTGTGCTAAGTGCATACATGCTCCAGCATACTCTGGGTTCCTCATGCCAGGTGTACCCCCTGACGAAGGTGTCATCAAAAAACAATGAATCGCTGGTGGACGGGGAATGCGAGGGAATCAACGGTACAGGGATTCAGTGGGGCTGGCGTCCAATTCAATTGCTGCCATGCAAAAAGGTAGGCGTCATTTGGGTAATCACATTGCCGTTTCTACTTATGGTCATCATGAACGAGAGATTCGGGGCTCATGCCAAGCTTTGGTAAAGCTTACTGTAAATGGTGATGCGGTTATCGCTTACTGGCTGCAAGCTTTATCCCGCACTCGTCGCGTACTTTCTGCAAGCATACGCAAATCTATTGTTCGCACAAGCCCAGTCATCGCAGATGCTAGTACATTCAGCGAAGCACCATCGAAGGTCATGGGGAAACGTCCTTCGAGCAGCCCGTAAAATAATAAGTACTCGGGATCATGGCAGCCAATGTCTTGCCCAGGAACACAATGGTGGCTCCAGCCAGCCCTCGGAAGTGGACGGGTTGATACAGATCTCACTAAAAGAAGCCATAGCTTGGGTCCAGCCGAACGTCACTATGGACGCGCTCGTTCAATCGACGATGAGGGTAGGGCTGATCCCGACAGTTGTCGCTAGCTCGAAGAACACGACTGTTTTGGAAGCTTTCGCCACTGAGACTTGTGGATCCTCATCTTTTCGCTATGGGACATTCAGCTGCGCTGTTTTGTCTGTCAAAGTCGTTGTTCGTGATGTACAGGAGTTGACAATAAAGCTCAATGGTGATACTATAGACCAGCACTTCGGAAATTATAGTGTGTCACACAGGCTTGACTCAATCACGCTCTTTGAAATCGCGCTCATCCCAGCGGGAAATTATGTTGAGATGACATACTGGCCCGTCCGTGACATATGGGGTGCAACCCTCCGGATGATGCCAAAAACGCGTCAATCTCTAATTGTCGATAGACCAGCGGTGGATGAGTTTACAGATTTGCTGGACGTCCTCATTTTTGAATCAACGTTTGGTGTTGTTGTTACCGGGCGATTTATGCCCACCACAGATAATCTCTGCAGCCCCTTTGGTCAGAACACTCCATTCGTGCAACATGCCGAGTCCATACGTTCGAGCAAGCTTCAGCACTCAGGTGAAAGCTATGTCGAGACGGTCCCACTTATGGATTACATTTTTCGGTATGATGGCTGCAAAAATATTTCAATCACCCAAGATGAAGTTCGTATGGGGCAAAACGTAGTTGTGCCTGCTGAATCTTTAGAAAACCACATTAAAGACACCTATTGGAAGCATTCCAATTGTCCAATCAGCATAATTCAAGCACAGCCACATGATACATTTGGTAGGCGAAGATTTGGCGGGTGGGCTGCGCTAGATGGCGACTTTTGGCACATCCAAGCGTTTGAACCCACAAGAGAAGAAGAGAGCCATTGAGGCTACTTAGAGCATGCTAGAGCACATAGAATAGTTAGAAAATCTTCTACATCAAAATATCGTCTTCACGCGTGCGAACAAAGCTATGCATGAACAAGAACTTGTAATTGAGGTCGTCACGTTCTAGTGGCATTGTCAATGGTTCTGTTGAGGCTATGGATCAAAGCGTAGAATGAAATCCACGGATACAAGCGTAGCACAATCACCCATCAAAGTCCAGAGACAGAGCGAGACGCAGTAACGTGTCGATCTCGTTGTTATCCCAGACTCCAGCCTTCTTCAACTCACCCTACTACAAAACGAACTCATTGGGTTAGAGAGTGCTGTTCCTTGAAACAGCCACTATGAACAAGACCAAGCTGTCGACGGCGGTGGTGGACTTGGCAGTGGCAATAGCACTGGCCTTGCTTGCCCGGCCGTGCCGTCTGTCAGCATCCGAAGCCATGCCTGTAGTTCTGATCAAAAGTTTCTTTTTTTGAAATACGCCGCACCCTGTCAGTCATGCCCTAATGATATGGCCTGACATCCCGTACAGCAAGGTAGGCAAGACGTTTCTAATGCCTCTTAATTGTTAGGTCGTCGTCATAAATACATCATATGAAGAGATAGAAGGAGCGCCAGGAATCAGAGGCAGTATCGGTCCATGCCACTCCTCCCAACTGTCCGGGGACAGAGCAGAGTGCAGGAAAGGGATACCTCGTAGTGGTGGAACATCAGCCAGCCCCCATAGTCACGCCATCCTCAGCCCCATTACATGGATGTGTGATTTCTTGCTCTGCTGTTGGCCAGGCCTGATCCGGCCGCCCACGGCAGCAACAGGGCAGGGAAGATGAAATCAAGGGGGTGGCATTGCAGCCAAGATAGAGGCGGCAGGAGTCAGTTGGCGACACTGGTGCCTGCGTTGTGTCTAGGGGCAGAGGAGGGTATAAAAAGGGCCCGTATGTCCTGCCAGCCTCTCTTCAACCATCACACCTTGATACATCACTTTTCCAATATGAATTCTCGACTACCCTTATCAGAGCTGCCAAAATCATCAGGGGTGACGCGCCGATCCGGACGCTGTCTCAGTTCTCGACAAGTATGGAAGATATCTGGACACAAACCAGTGCTGACCACCTCCCAAGTGGGATTTAGGCGATCAACGAGGACCGGACACAAACAAAGTCATAGTGATCCCAGACAGCCAAGAAGAGGTCAGTGGCCACCATATGAAGGTGCTTGTAAAGTTGCATCTTTTTTCCTATAACTAATATTTCACAAGATCAATTACACACAGCACCGAAAGCATTCTTCCGACGTTTACTCGGTCGAAGACTGTAATATCATCCAAACCGCTAATAGTAGGGACAAAAGGTTGAAGGAACGATCAATGTTTCTTGGATCACAGCAGGAAAACATGCTTTTACAGGATACTGTTAGTCTTTCGCCAAGATCATATCGTAACTCACTGACGAGACCACAGAGGTTCGATGGATGTACGCCCCATAAGGAAGCGAAACCCCAATCCGGGCTGTTTTTTTATTTAAAAAGTGAATTGGAAGGATCTCGAAGGGTTGGAAGAAATCGGGAGCAAGAAAACCTAACTCTCAAGCGAAAACTCAATAAGAAAAGGCAGGCGTGTTTTGATTACCAAAAAAAGAGCGAAGAACTCGAAAAGGAGAACGACGAACTAAGAAAGGAGAAAATCAAGGATCAAAAGGAAATCACGGAGCTCATCAAAGAGCTTATTGAACTGAGAAAGAAGAACAAAAAACTCGAACAGGTTCGGGATGAATGTAAGAAGTTGTACCTAAAGGGTGACAGGAAGAACGTAGAACTCGAGAAGTTATACCTTAAAGAACATCAAGAGGCACAGGATAGCTACTTAGAGGGAGTTTGTTTTGGCTATAGAGTCGCATCGAGCGAACATTCAATGATGTCGGGAGATAGTTGATGTCAGTAAATAAAACCCTAACCATATCCGGTCTATCTATAGGAGACTCTGGCTACAAGTAAGACTTATACAAAATCTTGTTTTTATGGCACAATGCTCTGTTTATTATTCGTTGTTACTGCTGTTCAAGTTTCGCAACTCATCCAGCCATGCTTTGCGGCCTGCATTCTGTCGATAGTCTTCGTCTCTCACTCACAGGAGCCGTAGAGCAGTCAATACTAGAAGATTTCAGCAAGCTACGAAGACAACACACGACAGATGTCCAGATTCTCATAACTGCCAGGGTTGCCCCCAACCAGTATGGCATAGGATCATGTACCCAACTACACACGACATAATGCAGTTACCTCCCCGGACTTTACAACAAATTTGGCTTAAGCTGTATCGTATTCCTTGGGTAAACGGTTCAATGAATACGGAACACTTTTACGTGGCGAAGCCGAGCCACCGTCTTGATTAGGGGCCTTGTCGTGTCTGCAGAAATGAGAGGGTCACAAAGCAGACATCGAAAACACCGCGGAATCAAGGAACGTGGCATGGCTCACGGTTTTACACAGACCAGGAAATCTCAGCATTCTAGGTGCAGCTGCTAAGCGTACATTTAGAGATAATATTTCACCCAGGTTCAGATTGACAGCTCGTTTTTTGTGCATCGGGTGAGCATTGTAAGCGGCCTTTACAACGAGGCGTCCTGTTGTTGGCTTTTCATACTTCTTTTTGAAATTTTCCCGTTTACACACATTATCTCAACAATCTGCCAGCAAGGTCTGCTTATTCGCTTCCTGCTAAGCGTCAGCAACTAGCATCATCTGAACCATATCATTCAACTTCTATCCAGGTGCAAGTGTCTTCGCTGCTGGCAGAATTGAAGCCGCATTCTTCAGTCACGGTACTGTAAGTGTGAACATTTCATGCTCTGCTGTTTGCAGCAGGTGCTTTGTGACGTATCTCTAACCTCACAAGAACACGAGTCTTGTCAGCTTTGCGCTGGCCTTACAGAGTTCTCTCAATAGTCCTATCATCTTCGCGAACAATATGAACTACAGTCAGGAGAAAGACCGCTGCTTGCTCTGTGAAAAGCATCGATCCGGTAACGCCTCAAAGGAACTAGGTTGGAGTTCGCAGATTTGCAAGAGACCGAAATGTGCTGAAAGCAAACGCCTACTCAAACGCCTACTGCAGAAGGTCTCGGAGTCAGATGGAAATACAAGCACCCTAGCTTTTAAGGTTTATCACTACCACTACTTCAGCCAACGTGGCGAGGCTGAACTGGATCGAACGCCTGCCTATCACTTCGAGCTCCATGCAGAATCGCTTCCAAAGAATGACGGGTTACCGCCCGATTATGGAACACCTGCCCATGTCGGAGAACGTACTAAATTTCATGGTGATATTAGTTTGCAACACTTTGCGAGAGGTACATGACAAGCTTCAATGAGGGTGTTATGGCGCAGTGGGGTTGGTTTATAGCTTATGCACAGGAACTGATTAAGTACAAGAACCATCTCCACTAGACAGACAGACAGCGTTGTTTTGAGTGTGATGAGATTAGGCGTCATAGAGCATGGCGATATGAATTGCATGCTATGGTAAGAACCAAGCTGATCTCTTGGAATTTATAAGCTCTCAACAATAAATGAATGAATCAATGAATGAATAAATAAATAAATAAATAAATGCATGAATGGATGGACGCAACCGCAGCGGTGGGTTTCTATTAAAAAAAATGAAAAGAGACAAAGTTAGCTGAAGGGCCGTGTATCGCCTAGGTAATACAGTCTTTATCTCAGTCGTATTTCACTATCTGAAGACCACTTTAGTGGCTTTTCTCCTGATTTTCTATGTTCTTTGATCCTGCGCAGGCCTCTGATCATATATCACGTTCCCTCATCGTAGCCATGTCGAAGAAGTAATGCCAGAATAGCATTTGGAGTTCTTCAGGGCCATCAGTTTGCTGAATACTTGCTTGCAGATGACACCCGGATCCAAAACGACTCGGTGCTGATGGGGGTATGGGAATGTTGTTGAAGCTTGATAAGTCCGCTGCTGACGGCCGCAGATGCAGTAGAAAGCAACTGCAACAAGGCGTTCCATGTGACCTTGCAGACGCTATGTCGCCGATCTGACTTACGCCTAGCCTGCCTAGCATGAGACGTCGCGCTGGGAAAGAACTTTACGAGATGACGAAGACGGGTAAGTACGCGGCAGACACGAAAGATCCACATGGCACAAAGCAAAGGACAAAATTGCACATGAGGTATGTCAGAAAGGTAGCGCCCCCATCGGCTTACGGATGATAGCCGAAAGTCTCTTTTGGACAGGGCACGGTCATTCCTTGAATGAACTTACGCTTACAGACCGTTGCTTGAGAGTACCAACCTACAATCCGTGAAGCTACTGTTTCAACTATATTCAAAGGACACCCTAGTGGGTGTTGTAGTCGTAGCCCAATCCCGTTTGTGGCCGTGCGAATACCAAAGAGTGTATGAATTCATAGCCACCGGTCCTCTCACCAGCGTATGCACGCATCCCTCCTCAGCTACCAGCCCAGCATGTCCCATCGCCTTACCGAGCCTGGCCAACTGCCCATTCTTGTTGATTATATTGCTGAAAGAACCAAGGTTGCACTACACACATGTACTCTTGTGTCCGGCGTGGAAGAAACGCGTCTTCCTTCTATTGACGATTTCATATTGTACGTCGTTGCGCGATCTTACACCACAGCTCCAGAACTCATCATGTGTATCGTGTATCTCTCACGGTTCCAGGAACGTTTGCCTCCCACTGGCGTCACAATGCGACCGTCTACTCCTCATCGGGTTTTCCTAGCTGCCTTGATATTGGCGCACAAGGTTTACAACGACGACAGTGTGAATAATACTTGCTGGGCGGATTGCAGTGCTGTTCCTGAATGGGGTTTCGCCGGCTTCTCAATCGTGGAGGTGAATTTGATCGAGAGGCGATTTTTGGCATTTCTCAACTGGAACGTACACATCAGTGCCGACTTGTACGACCTAGTCAGCGAGGCAGTTTACAGCACATGCTTCAATTCGCCGAAGTCGATAGAGACGGAGCCGTGCTGGGCTTGCAGTTGTTGTGTCTGCATCAATTGGTGGACAAGCTCCGTACAGGGACTATGGCACTGCTTTGCTTGCCTCACACCGAGCTGTGACGAAGTAGGGATGCAAAAGAAATCATTCTTCATGAAAGCATAGCACATGCTGCAACGGCCTGCTACCAACCAATCCCCACACTGCCCGAGGAAGTGGCATCGCTCGGTCACGACACGCTAGGGAACAGCAAGGGAAGTCCGACGACTAACTTCCATCAACTATTGTAGGCATACATTCCGGTGGCCAAAATTCCATTCCTTCCATGGCTTGGCGCAATGGGCAGGGCTCTAGAATGCGCGTGATATTTCTCTTGCAAATGCATTGCTGTCTCTGCGAAGCACGTCATAGAGGATTGCTGCACTAAACTGAATGGATCGCCGGCTATTTGCAAGGGCAGTACAAGTTCATCGCTGACGTCTTTTTTTGTTGAAGGCCGTGCATACTACGACCGCAGCGCTGGAAAGCACAAGTAGACCGGGGGGGAAGAATGCTGGCACCTCTAAATCGGCAGCATGGGGCCTCTACGGTTACTCTATCGTAGACCCGCCGATGTCTGACTTGAACTGTTGATCTAGCTGCATCGCTATATTCTATAAGAATACATTATCCTGTGCCTCAAACTTAGATGCACCTGAACACTCATGTTGCTAGCCCTTTTGTGATAAAATGTAACTGTCTCACGCTGTTGCCACTTCCTCCGCGCCGCACAACAGGGATGGACGTGCCCACCTCGCTAGCCTAATTGGACGTTAGCCAATGTGGGCTCACCCATGTGCCGAAGTTGTGTGCGCTTCACTACGGAGCATGTTGGAGGTCGCCATTGTTAAATGTGTGAAACGTTAAAGGTGAAGGAAAGACTTGTGGGGTGGCTGGTACCCAGCCACCTAATATTTTCACCTATATATACTCGCGCTCCAACTACCTTAGTTAGCCAATGAATCCATTATCTAACAGCCATCATTTAGCCGCGCAAGTAAGGATTTCCGCCTCTATGGTCGCGCAAGGCCGTGGGATCCGAGCGCCAAGGCATGGGGAACAGATGGCGCCAGGCATACTTGTGGATTATGTCCAGGGTAAGAAGAGATGCTAGCGAGTCATGTATGGGGAGAGCTTATGCACGCCCCTTGTGGGGCGTAAGCACTTTCCTTCACGGTTGCAGCTTTCCGCTTGTGCATGTGGCTGCAGAAGTGTCGCGAAAGTCTTGATACCATTCACTGATTGGTCTGAGCGTCTGGAAGAACACCGGCGCGGCTGTCAGAAACTAGTAACACCAATGGTAGCAACTGCCACTAATGAGCGAGATGGGTTTAGCATCGAATTAAAGATCATCACATCGTTTGCTGCTGACAGGATGGATGCTGCAAATGAGCAGCCGCAGCCGCAGCCGCCACGCTAGCGCGTGCAAAGTTTGGCCCCTGAACCGTTGTAGCGCAAACTGCAAGGATCTGCATGGAGACGCTGCTGGACGTTGTCATTGTTTGGACCTGCCCACCTGAACAACCGGGCATCAGCATGCACAGCTAGGACGGGCAACGGTGGGTATGATATATCTACATTCTGCACGGGTAACCTTCGCCACGGGACACGAGTGCGATCTCGGCGCATGAGCGCTAGAGCCTGCTTGGATTATTTCTTTGCTACCTTTGCCCACAAGATGTCAACCTTCGCTTATAATTTTTTGCCTTGTCCGTCCCAAGCACCGGGCACCATGCACTTCTATCTCTATACTAAAAACATTCTTTACACCATTTGCTTAGATAGACGTATTGCTAGTGCGGTGCGAACATCTAGACAGCAAAACTGTGGACTGATGACTGAAATCTCCCTTGTTAACAATGGGCGCAGCCTGTGGCCGCTCGATGTGGCTTGGCATGCTGTAGTAATCAGGTCTCCGATGGTGACTGCCAGGAGCGGCCTGCCCGCGCTGTGTCTCCGCCCCATGTGCTTCAGAGTAGGAATACCTCCATGTGGATACCGATGCGCCCGACTTGAGTGCGGGAAGGAGTTGTCTTTGCGGTTCTCTGTACCCCTCGACAGTGTTGTGGTGCGGGGCCTTTGGGACTATGTTCGCATGATAAGATTCGAGGGGTAGCAAAGTTGGACGCTGAGAGGGACTGGGCGTCTCGGTCGAGTTTTGTTTTTCAGGAAGTGACCTCTTCGCATCTTCCACAATCTTCTTCATGTTCTCATCCATAATCTCCCTATCAAGAATCAGCTCAATCTTGGGAAGGCTGAACTTATTCGAAGAAACGTACGGCTTTATACATAACACATGAATTGACACCCATTTGCCGTTCTCCACGAATTGGATCAGTTGCGGGTATTTCGGGTCCTGGAAATACGCCCTACCATCGAGTCGAGAGTGTCGAACGTATTCAAAGTTTACTGGTACCCCGTTCATCTTGATAGTATGTCAGTTGTTCTCGTCAAACAGGTAGCAGGCTGTCGGATGGTCAAATAAGGCATCTCCATAACGAGTTCTGGCTCTGCTGGGTCCTGTGGCACAGTTCTTGGATTCGTTGATGAGCCCGATGTGGCACGTTGACCATGGCGACGACCGGCAGTTTGCGACATTCACTAGGGGGGTGAACGGCTCCGTAAGCAACTTGGAAGGTCGCTCGACCTTGTCGTGCTAGGCGGTCAAAGCGTCGATTGCGGCACAGCCATGTATCGTAAGACCTGCTTTCCGTCTGCCCCATAAGCAGCTTACAGGCGCTAATAAACAGGGCGGGTGAGGCAGGTCTGTCGTCCCACAACGCTCAAGCGAGCCTAAGCCTATTATGAACCTGCTTGGACAGGGTGAGTCGGCATTCATGCCCGCGCCGTAATTCTAGCAGCTCATCTGTATTGCCATGCCGAAGACACTGCGGTGCAGCCAAAGCGCTGAACAGCCGCGGCAACGCCAGCGCTGCAGATGGACTTTAGCTGCTCCCAGCGACCGGGACGACAGGATGCCAAGACGAAAAGACAGCGTCATGCAGAAGGAAACTTTCTATTCGGAAGTGTATGTTAAGTAGCTCATTGTATGAATTATTGTGTCATTTGGCCGCTGCGCTCTTGCGTGGGTATTCTTGCATGCACGGAAATACTATGTGGGTTGTTTATCTAGCGACGGCAACCAGCATCTTGTTCGGCACCTGGTATCGTTGTTCGCGCAACGCCGCCAACGGCTTGCCAGAAGGCCCGCAGGGCTGTCCTTTACTAGACACGCGCTTTTTTTATCCCACTGGCCGTGTCGAAACATCTAACGACAGTGTAGGCTGTTTCACCTTACTAAGAACATATCCTGAATGGACACTTCACAGATGGGCCCAAGAATACGGGTCGCTTTACTCTTTTACGATCGGCAACCAGCGCTTTTTGGTGGTGTCGGATCCCGACACTGCCAAATCTCTCTTTCTCAGCAAGGCATATATCTGCTCGGATCGCAAAGAAACGTTCATCAAGAGCCAGAAAATTCTTTAGGGCAGGGGCATCACGTCCACTTCGTATGGAAACATATAGTAGGCCCCATATGCCCATATGCACTGCGCAAATTCACAACCGCCGTCTGATGCTAAATTCAATTCTCAGGCGTAAGCATCGCAAGATAGCGACAATCTCTCTTGATCAGCAAGACATCAACCGGCAAATTCGCGTCCTCGACTTACAAACAACTAGCACAATCCGGGCGCTGTACAAGGACAGTGCAGATGGCAAGCGTATAAATCCCCAAACTCACGTCAGTCGCTGCTCTATTAACTGCATAAGTGCAATCACATGTGGCTCTCTTGGGATTTTTGATGCGCATTCACAAGTCCTAGACCTCTCACGCGAGTTCATGAACATGACTAGCCCGATGTATAATCTAGTTGACTTCCTGCCTGCACGGCTACAGAGAAGCCTGCCGTAGGAAACGAAGCGACGTGGGAATGAACTGCACGGCGCACTCATGGATACCTACTGTCGCCAACTCGAGCGCGTTCAACGCGATATAGAGAACGATGTGCATGCTGGGGATTGCTTAGTCAAGACCATGATCACTAGGAAGGAAAAAGATCAGTTGGATGATCTGGATATGACCATGCTAGCCTCTGCGTTCATGTTGGATGGCATAAATACGACTGGGTCAATCATACAGTGGTTTAGTGCACCGATTCCCTCTTACCTGCACGTACAGCGCTGGGCTCATGAAGAACTCGACCGCGTCGTCGGCCGTGACCGCCTTCCTAATCTGGGAGACGAGGCCAGTTTACCCTATTGTCGGGCCATTGTCAAAGAGGTGGAGCGCTGCCACAATCCGTTTTGGCTGGGCATTCCGCAGGCGGCGAGCAAGGTCATGTTTGTAATGATAAGCTTATTCCGACCGGGTGAATCTAATACTGAACACATGGACCATGCATCACGATCCAGCAAGATGGTCTGACCCTCTGAACTTCCATGTAGGCCATCCCTACCATTATGAGATCCTAATTGTGCAGCTAACGACATCGGCCAGCCTGACTGTTACCTCGACGAAAATTTTTCTTCTGTCCATTCTGCAAGACTAGATGATCCGCGTCTGCGCGACCACTAGACCTTTGGCGTTGGTCGGCGCATCTGTCCCGGGATACTCGTTGCCCAGCGTGAGATATGGCTCGCCGTAACAAAGCTGCTGTGGGCGTTTTACCTAGCACAAGTGCCAGGCCAGCTTATCGACCTGAAAGAGTATGATGGTAGGAGTGGAAGGAGCCCCATCCCATTTGAGATTCTGCTCCCGGCTAGGTTCGAAGGTGTTGACGACGTGATGGCTGAAGCCCAGGCGTAGTTAACTAGGTAGTGTAATCATGTTTCTGCCACACCGATATACAAGCTGTAAAGAAGCAGCAAGATATTTGCCCTGTAGAAAAGATGTGAATGTGATTAAGAGCTAGCGCTCAAAAAGATACTAGAAACAATAGTTTCCATGTTTTGTTCTCGCATGTAATTACAAATTCAAACTCGAAGCATTCACAACGGTTCCAGCCAGGGCTTGAGCACGAGCCACTTTGTCAGACGTATTGGACTCGGCTACATAAACCAAGCGCTACGAAGCTCTACTACATGTGAGCATGTGCCACTGGGGCGTTTAATGCCATAGGTATCTCAATCGCTCAGGATATTACCGCTTGTGTGCCAATAATGTAATTTATGACGCTATATGCTCAAAGGCATACTCGCAGGGAACTATAGCATTCCGAGATTTGAGGGCCATGAGCAGCTTACATCGGCCCCAGTTTTCACGTCCCTCGGAAACCGCTGTGGAAACGCCGCTACTCTTGATTTGCTTACAGAATGGGGCAACTGTATGACCTGTTGTCTCGCGTTAACTTATCCACAAGCTTGTTGACAACTGGATGTAAATGAGAAGGCGATTGCCAGATGCAAAAGCACGACCTGAGTATCTATGAACGCCTCAACTTTGTGCCATGGTATATACTACATGCTGACCATCATACAAAGAAAATTCTAATCACAGTCACGCTAAAAGGTAGTGGTAGAAAAACTGCCATGGAACTAAGGGCGACATCTTTTGAGCAAATGTGTCCTAGCCGTCTTGAAATTCATATTTTGCCATGAGACCTAAGCTATCCGCAGAGGCACGTGCCCAGCGCCGTAAAATACAAAATCGTGTCTCTCAACAAAAAAGACGTAAGTTGCGGTACCAATAGAAACGATGCAATGCTCACGCTGTTGTAGGTGAACGTGAAAAGAAGTGCAAAACGCAGGCCCGGTCTCGTGGCACACAACCTGTTCCTACGGGGCGACGTACAACGCACGATGAGTCAAATCTAGTGGTGCCTGGACATCAGTGCCAGGACAAATTACCGCTCGCAGATGAAAGCGACTACCTGGTACCAATGCAAAGCCATGAGAGCTTTGTTGCACAACTGTATTCAAATGAGTGGTTAAGCCACCCGCGGAGCCCAATGATGCCAGAATACACAAGTCCTTTCGAGGAGGGCTACGCGCTGATGCATGGAGGGCCTGCTTGGGAATGCATGAAGTCGGCGGGTACGCAGAAGGATGGGGGCACGCAAAGCATGCAGGCAATATCCAATGTTAACAGGGGTGCTTAGTTACAAAATATCCGCCCTCTCTGCCATGAAAATAGCAAAGCCTTACATATGCAAGCAAAGCGTCTAGGGGTGGGGTTGCATGCCGGTACAACTGGGCCATTGGTGAAAAACACGCGATAGCGACGTTGAACAATTTTGCGTCGTAAGATATACAAAGTGGATTGATTATGATAAGGCTTAACATAAGGGTGATAGGCTGCTTTGCCTTGAATCCAGCTCTACCTTCCGTCACTGCTCACACCACCCAATACTACAATATATATGATTTAAAATAGTCAGGGTGACTGAGACACGCAGCCAATAGCGCAGAGTACATAAGAAGGGGAACGCATCCTTTGAGAAACCCTACGGTTGTGAGTTGCTTTACTGTTGTCTTGTAACGAGGACTTACGTGAGTGAGATGGTACCGACAGCCACAACGCAATGCCGAGAAAGCACAGCGCAATACCGATTCGACCACTCTGAGGGTCTATATCGTGGCCGGCAAGCATGAACAATGGCCTGATGAAAAAAAGCGTCTGCAGTGACGACTGACAAAGACTTGCCCAAGGCCAATACATGTCCCCACGGTAGGAAACGCTGATATCCGCAAGGTGGTCCACGACAGTCACCGCGAGAGGGAGAATGGCGAACTGTACTACAGAGCCAGTGTCTTGTTCTGCCGTCCATGCCGCACTTTCCATCTGTTTCCATACTCTGTGCACCAGATGAGCGGCGAATAGCTTCAGCGCCACCAAGCAGACTAGCAGTACTAACCACTCACTGTCACTGTGAGTGTTGTACCTCTTGCTCACTATGTCTCGATATTTTTCAGCGTGCCAGTACCAAAAGTAGCAAGTGAAACCGATGGATAGGAGAAGGAGGACAGGAACTCCCCGAGATAGCCACGGGCTGTCCCCTGCCGCAGCCATTAGCCCTGGTAGCGAGTCAAGCTTAATTCCATGAGTGGAAAGCACTATCAAAGCCCCACTCCGTAGGAAAACCTTGGACACATCCATCAGACGATTGGAGTATGGCTGCATCCCGGGTCCTCCGGTGTGTAGGTTGTGAAGGGCGAGACAAAGCGCGCCTGCTGCCAAAGGCTTGGCATAAACACATCCAACCAGGAATGTGTTGGCTGTTGTAGCCGAGTTCCCCGTGAGCATCAGCCTGGTAAGCTCAAACTCAGCAAGCGGGCCGGTAACGAAAGGCATTTGTGATACAATGATTGCCAGCGTCCGATTTGATACCGCTAGACGCATGAGATGATGCGTAACGATCAAAATGGAGTCGATTACTACGGCAAGCTGGACCATTCCTAACAAAATAGAGAGAAGGGTGTCTGCATGGTCTTGTCTCAACCACTCAATAACCATGCCGACAATCACGAGATAACAGAGAAGAATTCGGTGCATAGTTGATATCTCCTCAAGCATATCCTCCAAAGCCCACAAAACGTGTTGTCCAAGCTGTTCGAGCCGATGGGTCATCGTACGAGTTGGGGGAGGCGACTCATATCGGAATCGGGATCGTGATCGGCTTTGAAATTGGGTAGACATGGTTGGATCTTGTAGTGGTATGAATGGAATATTTGAATGATGTGACCCAATGCAACGCGCGACACAGCGTGGTAAAAGTGCTTAGGCGAAGGGTAACACACGAAGAAGACGAGCCTTATAATAAGGCTACTGCACAGTGTCAAAAGTTTACAAGGTCGGATGATTTTGGGTCGGTCAGCGTGCTTCTACAAAGCTGACAGTTTTCGGGGTAGTAAACTATCTAGTCGCCATTTCCCAGTGGACCGCTTCCGCTCACATAGCATGCTGACACGTGCGTGGAGATGGACATGAAAGACACGATGTGAGCTTCAAGCATCAGCATAGCAGAGATTCACGAACCGCAGGGTTGACAGCGCCCTGTCGAACAGTCGCTTGATGTCGCCTCTCTGTAGTACCCTAGCACATGGCCAAAAATATTTCGCATCAGAGCTCTTTGTGGCCTCTGTGCGGTGCTATGCAACATTTGGTCACTTTCAGGATATATACTGTCCACGCTGTAGATGCATGGGATCCTATGCACCTTCTGTAACAATCTTATACCAAAGGCTCTACCGTTGGTAGTTCATTAATTTGAGTAATTAGATACACTGAACTATTCGGAAGAATGCGGCCAAACCATGCACGGAAGTCATGTATACGTCATCGAAACGACAAGGCACAGACTGCAGCCGAAAAATCATCAATGCAGGGTAAACAATTTTCTTGGGGCTGCTCTTGTGAAGCAGTGCCGAACAGGGAAGACACGGCCGTACGAACGTTCGGTGAATTATGAGTCCGGCAGTGAAGCGCTTGTATCCGGCATGCACTGTCGCTGGCTCTTTGTGACGAACGGAACCTGCGGAGACTGTTGCCAGTGTCTGTGCTTATCCTACTTACTAGCGTCGTCCAAACCAGCGGGACGTTAAGATCCACTATGGGCATACCAAGCATCAAGACCCACTATACTTAGGATCCACACCGTGGTCGCGGCTCAACCTGATTATGCTTACGGCTCAGCATGTTCTCGTGCATCATATTTCTGACCATATCATGACCCACCGCGGTGATTCTAGGGACCCACTTCACTTGAGCATTCCTAGAGTGCGATTCGCAGTGCAATACTGATACAGAATGCTTACGTTTAGAATGATGATAGCCTCGGATTTTCACCTCACATCTAGTCTACTCTGCGAGGTTGTGGCATTTATCACATGCGTCAACGTCGCACTACGATGGGCTACTCAACATCCTACTGATGGCGAACCGGAAGTACAAAACCGTATCCCAAGCTAAAGAAGCACGTAGAAAGTGCAATAGAATAGCACAGCAAAAATATAGAGAGTATGTTCTTAGTGTAACGCTACTAAGTATGGCTCAAGAGCCTTCTGACTTTAACGCAGGAAGCTAAGGATGCAGAGACTGGCTCCCCATGCTTCGCCTTCAGGCAGCACGATGAGGGAAAATGTGGAAGAAGAAGTGTCGAATGCAGTCGGACCTCTAGAGGCAAGCGTAGAAGAAGCCGTGGCCGAGGATGTTCAAGACGAGAGCAGAGAACCAGATTCAATCAGTCTAACACCTACTCCGTTGGAGCGCGTGGCTGGTATCGACCACGCTATTGAGGAGCTCCTAGTCAGTGTCGAAGACGCATCCGTTCGGCAATCTTTAAAAGATCCGATTGCGCACGTCGAACTTAAGCTCAAAGGTCTCGTCGACCGGGTGCACCAACCACGGCAAACTGCTACGGAACAAGGTGCATCTATTGAGCCAAGCATCCATTATAATCCGCATCAGTCGGCCAGAGACTTTATCAAAGCGCATAATATGCGGGCGGATGTGATTAGCTCACTCAGTGCGCAGGTGTATAGGTACCGTGCCCAGCACATAATTCAAGCAGAAATCAAGCATCTCAGTGCACAAGTGGAGAGAGCCATGGGACAGGTAATCTGAACTCTGTAATAAATCGAATTTGCCTTTATAGATGTTGCCTAACCAGCGGTTTAATAATCATTATGTTTTATGCCCTATGTGCATCACCTGCCCGCTCGCTGAGGCTGACGTATAGAAACCTTTTCTGTGTGTTATCACTATCACAGTGACCAGTAGCGACAGAGCCATGCGCGACATTGGATTTTCATGCCAATGACTGTGACTTTTGTAACCATGTATAAGATATACATATGATGCTTCTAGTAAAAGTCGTTCTCCCTGATCGGAATTCAGTGGACTAAATGCCAGTCTAAGCGACGTGAACGTACCATTCCTGTTCTGATTGAGTAAAAGGGGGATAGGGTGCAGAATTCTGAGGTGGAAAAAGCATACGAGACCTATCTGGGTGATATGGGCCGCGATAGAGGGGTCTGTTTCTTGGTGGTGGTTCCATTCCGTGCTTTCTTGCATTCTCCTGTGACCTCTTTGACCGCTCTAACTCTTCTCTTCTTCTTAAATCTTGCTGAATTGTCTGCAGCTTTTCGTTTACTTCCTTGATCTCCTTTCTGGATTCAATAATCAGTTGTACGAGTTGCTTCAGCAACATCATAAATGATTCGTCTGTGCTCGCATTTGGCGCGTCATTCCTCGGCGGATTGCTGAAAAAGAGTTAGCTACTATCCCTGAATCTGTATTTTAAATTGACGACAGATGCGCTGCTTACCCTGATGGATGTGCTGTGCCATTATGGTTGGCGCCCATAGGGGAGACCTGTGGATCAATACCGGTATTGCTATCCATAAATGCGTTGTCAGAATAAGGACCCAAGATGGCGGCATAGGGGTCAGACTGGTATTGCTCCATGGTGGTATCTGACAACAGCGAAGACGATGACTGAACAGCATGGAAGCTGGATATTTGTGCTGTCACCCTTGTCGCGTCGGCTGTGCCGTCGCACCATATCGGGCGCCTTTCTCTGCACCGGGAATATTAGGGCGCAATGTGGGTACGACGGCACGCTCAATAGTGGATCTCCATACAACAAAGGGGAGGGTCTAGAAGAGAGGGGACATGCAATGTGCATTACAGTCATCTATATCACTAACCTTTAAGGATGACACATGGAGAAAGGCGCTGGAGCAGGCTCCTTACAAGAATGCTGAGCTATTGCATCTATGAACGGAGCGTCAGCTTCACGTTCACAATGTGCTCGGCGGTAATGAGAGCATGGCTTTACTGGTGGCAGTGGGGGTGGATACGCATCGGCAAACAGTCTGGGGTTTTTTGTTGACTCGGAAAACATACCACCACAGGAGTATCCGTTTTTTAGCAGGCGCTGCAGTTTGCCCACTACAAGCAACGAGGTTTTCACGTATACTCAGGAGGAGCAGAGCCAAAGCCCCGCACAGGCTCTCCGGACCGCTGCTTCCGGGATTTCTACCACCTAATGCAGGTCGTGCCTACGTGGGCAGCCTGCGTGGGATTAATCCTTGGGTTCAGATAAACACTACGTGACATGTCCACTCACAGTACCTTGTTGTGTAGACCCACGTCCCTGCACATGCCCGCATGCATAGACGGTCACGTGGACAGCGTCGATCAGGGAGATTGTGTCATGGGCGTTTGCCGCGCACAGGAGCTGGGTAGTAGTAATCTGCCAAACGCCCTGCTTGCGCGAAGTCAACGTCGGCCACATTAGTCCGGTATAGCGATGGGCTCATCACTGTTGACTGAGTACTCCGCACAGCACTCCTTATGTCAGACCCTGCTCGTAATTAGAGCGAGTCTATCGATTAGGCATTTCGGCTTCTCGGCTTTTCGGCTTTTCGTTCAAGGCAGTTGTAGACTATGACGAAAGCTCCTTTGCACCATCCGGGGTCGCCGTCGCATCGTTTTCTGCATCTTTGCGGCACAGTTTCGCACGATCGAGCGTTGATACTGCACTCGAGCCGATCTGGCTCGGTTGTGTGCAGTCCGTGTGCTAGGTGTCGCGCAACCATCGTGTCGGTACCGAGGAAATTCCCTAACAGAAAAATATCCTGCAAACGGGCGGAGTAAATTTTGCATGGGGTCTTGGCAACTCTACCCCTCAGGGACAAGCGGGCAGCCTCTACTGCACCTCGAGGTCCGGGGGCACATCGCCTCGGCAGTTCCGGGGCCGCGCGCTAGTCCCGCCACTGACATGCCATGAAAATAAGATGAAATATGGGCCTGGCATGTGGCGATGTCTTCACACTTGCCTGTCCTGGACCAAATGGCAGAGTAGACGCGCTAATACGCCGAGGTTGTCCCTTTCAGCCCCGTGCATGCTTCGTATTACCTTCATAACTGATAACCATCACTGTCATCAGGATGCTGCGCCGCATGCTTGCAGTTCCTGCACAAACCCCAATACCAGGCTAGGTGCTTCCGTGAGTCGCTAACCGCAAAGCAACAGAAGCGGAGAGAGTCATAATGCTGAGGCGGATAGGAATCACCGAAGCGCGCAAACAGCCCATTTGACCATCACTTAGGCCGACCCCTTGTTCTAGACGTGAGGAAGGACGTCTTCTGAGACCCTTGTAACGTGCGGGATCAGTAAGCTGGGCACCCCACCAAACTTCACCCAACGCTCTCCACAACCAGCACAATGCCGCGACAACAACGTTCTATACAGACTTCTCGTGAATGTAGAATAAGTCTTGCTATCGCGTCTTACCGTAACAATCTAAAACAATCTATCCGCGCTCTTGCAAAAGCGTATGATGTGCCGCAATCAACACTATATACTCGCGTTCATAGTACTTAACCACGACTAGAGCTACGGTCTGTTAACCGTAAGCTATCGCTTATTGAAGAGCAGTCTCTCGTATAGTGGATCCTAGACCTTGATCAACGTGGTTTTCCACCCTATATTATTGACGTACGACGGATGGCAGACGCGTTACTCGCCGCGCGTGGCCAAGATCCACCTTCTACACCCGTAGGCAAGAAATGGGTGTCGCGCTTTATCTAGAGCCAGCCAGAGCTTCAGA